GACAGGGATAGGGAGAAGAACTGGGACTGGGAATAGGGAACAGGGAGAGGGACTAGAGACTGGAGCCAGGGAGAAGGACAGGGACTGGGACTGGGAATAGGGAACAGGGAGAGGGAATAGGGACTGGAGCCAGGGAGAGGGACAGGGACTGGGGACAGGGACTGGGAATAGGGGCAGGGACTGGGAACAGGGAGAGGGAGAGGAATAGAGACTGAGGACAAGGAGAGGGACAGGGACAGGGTGAAGGTGGTGGTGGCTTGTCCAGGGTCCCCACCCAGGCCTCTTCCCTCAGCGCCGCGCCCCTGGGTCTGCAGCCTAAAAGCACAGTTGGTGTTTATTATTAAGGAAATCGGTTTAAGCAACACCAACAGACACTATTCTGCCCCACAATCACAGACTCACTGAGGCTGGAAAACACCTCTGAGACCATCGTGTCCAATATTTGACCGATCACCACCTTGTCAACCAGCCCAGAGCACTGAGGGCCACATCCAGTCATTCCTTGATGTGATGGGGAAGGAAGCACCTAAGATGGGTAAACATTCAGAAAGTTTTATCAGTAAATTACACGCTTGGTATGGAAATTGGTGTATTAATGCCTGACCTACTATAGTTGTCACACCTGAACACTTAATAGTTAAGGTGTGACCAGGGGGGTGGCAGTGGAAGGAGCCTGACCAGCCACGAGGTCCCTTCCCCAGCACCTGTGGTTGGTCTGTGTGGATGGGCTTTAGTCCTTCCACCTAACTGGGAGAACGTGTTCAAACTTTAGGTTTTTACTAATAAAATGGTAGATTTGCATCATTTGAGCTCATGTAAAATCACAGAAAGCAGAGATGGAGTGGAAATTACGATACCAAGTCCTGTCATGGGCAGGATCTGTTACGACTCACCTTTCTTATGGCTTACACACCCTAAAATCAATCCCTTTTAAACTCAATCTCTCTTATAACAAGGCCACAGTTTTTCAGACCTTGTTGTCAAAATACATGGTATAGCAAGGCATGGGACTCTGCATTTCCTAATAAAATTTTGCTCAGTTAAACCAAAGGCAAACATGAAATAGGGAATCTGTGAAAATTATTCCGGTTTACCCTTTTCGATCAGTTGAGGTAAATCTTCTCAAGTCTTTGCCATTGTAAAAAGCAGGCTTAAACTAAAGACTTAACTTTTCGGTGTTCCCAACTTGAGACACGTAGGGCTTTCTTTTTGTGGGTATTTGGAGAACCCAGAAGTGCCAACAGCTCACAGAATTGCTGACTTAGTGACAAGATGATCAAAGGATGAAGCATCTATCACTTGAGGCACATTTACACATTTCTTAGCTCCTGCTTAGGCTCTTAGTAGATGGATATTACAAGCATTCAACACATAAATCCCTTTGAAAACCTAGTCCTGTGGGAACTGAGCTCTTGAGACTCTGCCCTGCTCTGTGTTCATATGGGTACCCCAAAGCACCCACATTAGCACTTATTTTCATCTGTTTGCCTCATCACTATTTTGCCTCATGTTGAGGCAAAACTCTGGCACGTTTTGGATGGTCCAGGATCAAACTGAGTGCAGCATCACTCCAGCTGCAAATAGAAAGTAAGATGATATCAAGCTTGATATCTGTTGTACCTACAAGTGCTTATTAAGGAATGAATATCGTATCACTTCCATCGCTTCAATTTACAATTAGAATTGCAACATTTCAAAACCTTTATTAGAACTCCTGAGCTTACATTCTAAATGGGTTTTGTATGTAGTTTGAAGAGCATAAAAACCCTCAAGGGGCTTGTGCTTTTATTTTTCCTTCTTGTTCTTCTATCTAGAGCTGTACTAGCCTTATAGATATGGTTCTTACCTAATCTTTCCTGCTTTTTCTGGACAGTAATTGGATTTGACAGAGGCAAAGGTTTAAGTAGTATCTATCAGAATGTCTTCTAACCTGGAACAATTGAGTAACTTCCTCTGTGCCTCCCAGAATGTCCCATTTCATTCTAATCACTTGTAGTTCTTATAGCCTTGATCTCCAAGGATTTCCCAGCATGACTCAGCTCAATCTTCAAAGAGGTGAAGAAGGTTTGGCAGCAGTTTGCAGTCAGAGGAACAGACCTGTTGCAGTGAAGAATCAGCAAAGACCAGGATTCCTGAACGTCAATCCCTGTGGTGCTCATGTTGGACAAGTGCAGTATTGAGGAACCAGTGAGGCAGGTGAGCAGAGACTATTTCTGCAATAAGCTTCTCCAGAAATAATGCTCCTAAAATCCCATGAATTTTTATTAAATTTACTTGGCCTACAAGTCTAACATGGGCATTTTCAGCAGCAGACATGAGTGAATGGAAGATGCATCTTCCTGGAGAGCATGTGCTGTGTTAGTACAGGAGGAGGAGCAGCTGTCCCCCTGCAGTCTGCCTGAAATTTAATCCTGTAGGGTTTCTGAAAAAGAGAAGTTTGAAGCTTTTCTTTGAACAGTAACATCCAGAGACAAGGAGTGAATGTGGACATGCTGTGGTTGCTGGAGTCCAGGAGGAAGCTGAGTGAGACTGGGGTTGTTTGGTTGCAAAGAGCACAGTGAAATAATTCACACAACACATCTTGGAGAGAAGAAGTATTTTCTTTTTACCAGAGGAAAATAAACGGGTGGAGAAAGAGGTAATTAAATGTTTTCCTAATAGTTCTGTCTTGTGGTTGGTTGACTTGAGTGCATATGGATGCTCAAATTCCAAATGAAACTTTTCCTGCTTATTTTTTTTGGTCATGTAGACAGATTTATCTCTTTCTGTGTCTTTGCTTTTGCTTTTTTTTTTCTTTTCCTTTAATTGGGGCTCTTTAACCTCAAGTGAAGCATCTCTTTTCATGAGGCTTTGAAGAATGTATTGATCACTATCCTTATCTCTGAAACTACTCCCAGATCCCAGCTCTGGTTGAGTTACCCTCACTATGTCCCCACTCTATGTCAGGATAAGACCCAATTACAAATCTTTTACTGCCACTTGCCACAAATTGCAGAGCTTTGGAGGAGGCCACTGCACACTCCAACAAGTCCCTTGGTGTGGATGATCCGAGGGACAGGACTGTGACCAAACTGAGGAAGGTATGACCACAAAAGCTTTGTATTCACAGGAAGTGAGGCTAATAAAATACAGATCTAATTCCTTTAGTTTTGAAAGGCACAAGATACTATTGTTTTATACTCCAGCTAAGCCAATTCTACAAAAACCAGAGCCTTTAAAAAGATAAACTAAATTTCTGGACATGCAAGGCCAAGTCTACATCTGGTGGGAATCCAGTGGAAACAGGCTGATGTGTGGGAAATGAGAAGCATTTTGATTCTGTAGCACAGAATCAAAATGGAGATTAAAAAGACCCTCTGAATTGGGCTGTTTTCCATTTCTGTTGCTTTTCTGGCCACAAAAAAGTTTGATTCTGCTGTGCCCTGAACGGTGGGAGTTTGCAGTGAATTACAGGCCCTGCTCCCCAGTGGAGTTCAACTCATAAACCACCCACTGCTTAATTCAATGAATCCAAGAAAGCCGAGTAAAGAGGTGGATTTGGGAAGCAGCTTTGTGGGTTGCTGAGACTAAACTCCAGTGCACTCCCAGAAGAAAAGAATTACAGCACTGGGGACACTCTGCCTCGGCAAGTGGGAGAGCTGATTTCCTCTCTCCCAGGTGACTCTACCTGTAGGTGTTACAAAGTGAAGAGTTTGGTAACAGTTTCCACTGGACAAACTATGAAAGGACATCACCTTTAGAGGAGTGCAACAAGAGTGGTTCCAATGTGGAGAGCAAACATATGACCAGAAAAAAATGCGTGTTCTTAACTTCAGGTGAAGGCCAGGGAAGCAGAAATTGCACACACCATGGAGGAGGGACTCGGTGGCTCAGGACAGGGAGCCTTGGGCTCATTCAAAAGGCAAGTAACAGCCTTGTCCTTCTAAGCAAAAGGGAAGAGGAGAGCCAGAATTTACTGCTTGCACTTTATCTTATTTTATTTCTACATTTGCCAGAGTTTTTCTACTGTTTTTCTCACTTTTTTTATTTGTTTAAAATAAAGTGTTCAGAGTTTCCTAATTTTTAAATGTTTATTTTCCTTCTGGTGAGATTGATGGGTCATTAGCATTCAGTATAAGTTCTGCAGCTATGAGTGTTTGTAGGCTTTGGTCCTTTCTCTTTAATGCAAAGCTTTTGGAGAAAATTTACATTCATCTAAGTATTACCATAAAGAGGTTGGTTAAAAATCTCAAACCAGTCATGCTCTTTGCTTCAAAAGTTATTCTGGAATGCAAGGAATTCAGTCTGGAACAATTACATTATTTGCAATGGTAACTTCTTAGCGAACCCTGGAATAGTTTATGTGGTTAAAAACCTTTTCAAGAGCAATTGAAAAATTATGTTATCCCATCTATTGTTTAAAGGATTCCATGTGGTACAGTTCTTTGAATATGTGGGAAGAAAATGAAGCCAAAAATGAAAATTTGGCAGGCAAAAATCAAAGTGCTTGCATTGGCCCTAAATCCAGATATATGCACATTAATGATCTCATTTGAAAGATGTCTATATTAAGATCTGAGAGCTCTCTGTGTTCCCAAGGGACAGGCTCATTGAATATTGTGATGTACCGTGAAACTAAACAGTTTTTCTTATTTCTTACCTCAAAATAACCAAGGAGTCAGAAACTCATTCTGTGTGAGTAACAAAAGGGCACATTGAGAGCACAGTCTTTTGGGTAACCTTGCTCAGCAATACATTAGAATTGCCACTGCAGGGAGACACAACTCTGCCTTGCACTTACACACTCCTTCATTGGAAGGTATAAAAATAAGCCATGACCCATTCAGACTCACTATACCTGTATTAACAAAATTATCTGCACACACTTCAACTGCTGCAGTACCAAGTCCAGCACCTCTACTTAAGTCACTGCTGAAGGCAGATTTGGACAAAGGCTCCCTCCTGCCAGCTCTGCTATTGCAGCAGGAATTTACAGTAGAGGAGAGCAGGCACAGAGTCAGTCACCACACATTTATCACACCTCACCCAGCAAAGCCCAGGGTGGGCCAGCACTGGGACCTGAGAGAGACCTCTCTTGTTTTTCACTCTGTTCATGAGATTATACTTTTCTTTAAAAAAACCTAAAATAGCAGCAGGAGGTTCTGCTTCTTGAGGCTGTTTTGCATAGAAGTGTTACATGCAGTAGTGTTTCTCCAACCAACAGACCATGTCAACAGTAGCATCCCGTGCATTCAACTTCCTGATCTTGAGTCGACCAGTTCGTTAACATCAACGAGATGAGTCATGTCAGATCTGCAAGACTGGGCCATTTATCTCATTTTCTTCCTCTGAGGCACAAGCAGATCAGATATCCCATAAATTCTAATGGTTTGCAATGCCCACTTGCCAAGAGAAGGAGGGAGTGTTGCAAGTACCATAAAATTCGTTGTCCCATGTGTGTCGTATTAAATGGTGTAGCCAAAAGATTTCCCTGTTAAGGCTTCAGCAGCAGTGCTCATTTTGGAGTGTTTTATTCATCCAACCACTGTTAACCCTCAGTTTGTCCCTCTCAGAACTGCCTTTGGAGACATTTAGAAGAACAGTACCCAAGAAATCTTTGTGTAAAGGGCGGACCAGGCAGCTGAAGAGACGCCACAGGATTTCAGAGGATCACCACATCTTTGCAAGTCCTTCAGCTGAACAAGCCCACCTTCTGAACAGTTAATCCAGGTGGGATTACTGGAAGCTCCAAAAGTGTAGCTCAAGGCCTTCCTCCAGGTGGGACTCCACAGTGATTCCTGAGCCTTTTCTGGGGCTCTGCCAATTCCTGTATATCCAGAGATGGTCCAACCAAATACTTGTCAGTACAAGTTAAAATCCCACATTTTAAGTCAGTGGGTACCCCCATATGGTCCAGCTGTTTCCCATCGATGCCATCCCATCCTTATGAATCCTTTTATTCCCTATTTTCCCTGATTTCTCCTAAGTGTTACAGTGGTCTCTCTATTTGTCTCTTTATTTCACTAGAGTGCCTTTTCCAGACCTATGTCCCTTAGATGCAGACACACAAAATATTTTGTATTTCTATGGCACCTTCCACGGGAGAAAGAGCTTTTTAGTAGAGCCAGAAGAGAAGGAATTATCTTGGATTTACAGGCTGAGCAGACCCAAAGACACAGCCTGATTTTCCTGGGGATACACAAAAATCAGCAACAGGAAGGAAAAAACCTGAACATGTATCTTCTACCTCCCTATAGCTTTTTTTTGTCATGAAGTGCATTTCCTTTCCTTATTCATCCCACCTTTAAAAAATACCAAAAATACTTCTGACCTTCTATGAAAAATAGCTGAAGACAAACATCTGTTGTAAAATGAATATTTCTGAGCAGGTGAAAAGATCAAACAAACTCGTTTTCTATAGAATCTCAGTTTGATTCTCTCAAAAATGTTTGCTGCTGAGACAGCTTCCCTGCCTGGCTCTTGCACCACTCAGGCAGCATCAAGAAGCTCCTTTCCCCTCTGAGACCACAGGAGGTTTCACATTACGTTGTTAACCTCCCTCGGATCATCTCCTCCGTGCACAATCCCAGTCACATTTACATGCAGACATAATGTCACTCAGCCCACTTTATGCCACTTAAATCTCTCTCGTTGCCATGGGGAACATTGATAAGGAACCAATTAGCAAATAAAATATTTGGGGACGGATTTGAAAGCCACTGCTCCGTGGATTTGTGTGTCACAGGCAGTGACATTTCATTTGGCATTTGTCCTTACCTGGCTGAGCTTCTTCCACTGCAATTCCAGCTACACTGTGTAGTCAAAACATGCCCTTCCCACGGGATTTAGAGGCTTAGACGTGCAACACTATCTGACCCGGGGGAATTTTTACAGTTCTCAGGAGAAGAGGGATTGCTTGGAAAGCGCTTTTCCGGCATGGAAGTGCCAAGAGCACCATCCAGTGCCTGAGCGGAGTAAACACACAGGAACTCGATGGCGCTGGGACAAAGGCAGCTCTGCACATCCCACAGTCCGGCTACGCGTGGTGGAGTGCACGAGGATTTAATAAAATACAGATTCTTACAGAAGGAACTTGGAAAGGAAGTCTGGCAAAGCGGTCAGCCTTTCAGGAGGACAGGAGACAACCTGGAAGATCCCATCTTTTAAGCTAGAGCTGTAGTCTGAGTTGAGTTACTGATGATTTAGGGAGCAAAAGATGCAAGGGAGGAGGAAGAAGAGGTGGCAATAGATGGAGCTGGTTAAGAAAAGTAGGTAATTAAATCCATGATGGAAAGGAGCTGCTGCAGAGAGAGAAAATCGGGCCAGATCCTGCAATCCTTCCTCTTTGCAGAATTGAATCAGCAAAGAGAGGCTAGGAAGGTGTGCTGGCAGCTGCAAAAATAAGGGAGAAGTGACCTCAGCTGCCACTGCCCAGTCCCAACAGCCTTGTATGGCTTGTCAAATGTGAATAGTCCTGGATTTCGAGAATAAAAATTATTTGGAAAAAGATTTTGCACACATGTGGGCCATAAGTAACAATAATTCTTACTACATATGGCTACAGGCTGTTGGTGGGCTAGAGAGAAGGAACTAATTGCAGAACAAGGAGTCCTTGGGGCTAAAAGTGGGCACAGGCAGAAATGAATGTTATCTGTAAAGAAGTGATACCCAAAAAGATGTCCAAGAAAAAGCATGCAGCTTTTCCATGGACTGGTGGCTGTGCAACAGTGTATGGAAACTGTGTAAACAAGGAAACAGGAGTTTGGCATATTATGAACTGAGTATTTATTAATCAGAGATACAGAGTGCTGCAGTTTAGCACAATATTTGTGGTAACTTGTCACTAACATGTTCTCCCTAAAATCAGACTTTGGGCATAGTATAGAAATGCTGTAATCCAAGACAACTCCTCTGTTGTGTTCAGCTTCACATGTGTTTGCTCTTACTCTTTTTATATTTAACTTGCAGAGCAAAACTCACTTCTTTGATTAATATTGAGCAGTGTTTTGTTAGTGCCCTGTGGCAGAAGTGCCCAGATGGAGTGGGTTGAATACTGAAAACATGAGAAGCATTTAGTGTTCTGTGGAGCTCTGTTAAAGGTGTCTGAATAGAACATCTGGTATCAAATCTTGGGATAAATCAGTTTGGACCTGATCTGTGCTTTGTTCCAGCTTTACATTCCCCCTCTTCCTTCCTTGTTCCCAGAGCCAATAGATGATGGTTTATTGCCTGGTGCAACCCATTAAAGTCCCTTTGTTGGGGCTTGGCAATTAGTTGAGCAGAAAGAGTATAAAAATCACTTTGACATCTGTGGGGTTGAAATGGCAACGCTGACTTAAGATCTCCCTGAAAGGCTTTTTATCTGTCCTCAAGGTGAGGGAGAAAGAAGAAAGAGTGATTATCCAGAGACTTTGGGAAGATATTGCCTGATGTGCCTGCAGAGTGTGTATAAAACATGCCTGCCCACCACAGGGCCCTGGTGTGGGCATGCAAGACCTCCCTGCCAGGGGAAATTATTGCTATCCCACTGCTCAGCACTGCCAGATCCCTCTGCCAGTCCTGCTTTGTGGGCAAGAAAAACTCCTGCAGATTTGAAGAGCGAGGAAGGAAGACGGGAGCCGTTGGGGTGTCGTGTGACCGACACCACACAGCAGATGGAGGTGCCCATCCTTCAGTCCTACAACACATTCCACAGCCCCAGCCTTCCCAAACACATCCCACTGCTGGCAACAGAGAGGAAGGGCAGGCTCACGTGGTTTTCACATCAAGAACTGTGACTGCAGAGGCGAATCAGGTGCTGAGGCACGTGGACACCTAATTTAGAAGTGTTCGAGATGAACTCCTTGCACTTTAGGAAGTGTTTCAGCTGAGTACACAGAGCTCCCAAATACCCTTTGGATATTTGGCTCCACTCTTGGATAGATTTGCATGAGTGGTGTTTTTACCTGCTCACGTGAGTGGTGTTTTTACCTCCAAATTTTACCAAATTCCCCTGCTCAGAGGCTCTGACTCCCAGAACTATGACCAAAGCCATGAAAGAACACCAAATGCGAATTCCTAAATTGCATTCAGAATATTCTGAAGCAACTCCTTCCTGAGTAGTAACCAAGAAAAATGTCTCACAGTGTAACATTTTATGCTATTGAGAAAATAAAATATTTTGAGTTATATTCCTTTAAGATGTCTTGCTGTGTTTAAAGGGCTGATTTTCTTCTCTTTTTGCCTTGTTTTCAGGCTTGATACATCAACCAAACTTCAGAGGAGTTGTTCTTGCCTCACACCAATGTTGAGACGAAAGAGAAGCAAGTTATTCATGTTTTAATGTTGTTTTGTGCCAGATGTTTTGCTGGTAGAAATCCATAGCTCCACAGGCACCCATTTCTTCAGGATCTGGAATGTCTGACACAATTTCTGTCTCCATTCTGGACAGCCTGTGAAGGAAGCTGCTTTATTTTGCAATATTGAATATTCATGCTGGGAAGTTATAAGGAAAACCAAAATAATGAGAGACAGGGTCTCTAATAAGCTTCCTGTCACATGAGGCTCTTGTTCTGGTGAAGCAGATGTGGTTGCTGACTTGTTTCCAAAATGTTTGTTGAGTGGTGATTAGATTCTGTCATACTGATGTTATATCTCTGTGATCTCATTCAATACAAGTAGTTCTGCAAACAGTGAAATATTTTTTTCCTATGGATTTATATCTTGGATTGTGTTTCTGCATAAATTCTCTGATGTTTAATGGGGGTTGAGTTCATTTTAGCCTGTTTCTTCAATGAGAGATGAGCAATCTGTCTTGACTTGGCTGCCTACTTTCATGAAACTTGCAGGAATTAAATATCACAAGTATTAAAAATTTGAGTGGGAATTATGAACCAGTTCCAGAGTTATTTGGAGCCAACTCATATAAACAAACATAAACATGAGTCTCATTTGCTTTACAAAACTAACAGGTAAGAAGCAATCTTTTATTACTTTGTCCCTCTATTTTACCTACTTGATTCTATTGCTTTATTAATGATCAATCATATAAGATATGCTTTATTTATAAAGCTGTGTGAAATATGAGACTTGTTTGCCACATTGAATACATATTAAAACATCATTAATTTATACTTATTATGGGCCACACAAGAGATGACATTGCATTTTATTGTCCTTGCTGGAGCAGGGGAAAGAGGTGACATGGATTTTAACTTACATGTTTGCACAGGCAAGTGCAGAGAAAGAACATTATTTTTCCTTTAGAATTCTCATAGTTCTGGTTTGGAAAGGGAGAAAGGAAACCTAGAATTGAAAATGATCTTTTGTGTTGCTGAGTCCGGTCTTTTGCTTCTGCAGAGAGCCAAGTTCCCAGTCTTTTTCATAAAACAGGTTGTGCTATTCAAAAATATGCTCCTTTCTCTTTGTCATCCCTCCTATCCTCCCAGTTTCCCACTTTATTTGGGTGTTTGCCCCAGAATTTTCTTTCTTTGATAGGAAGAAACCTTTTAATTTCCATAATCAGTTTTTGCATGTTTGCTCTTGTTCTGTGTTGTTCTATGTTTTTGTTCTTCTTTCCTAAAAAAGTTCATTCCTGTAGGTAGCCATGTCTGTATAGGGAATAAGGAAAGAAGACCCTTCCAAGAGGACAGAAAATCTACACTTGGGTAAATCCTTAAGACACAAATCTGTTGGAAACGAGTCTTCAACAGCACTTAGCATAAAATGTTTGTGTGTCTAATACTCCCAGGTTTTTCTGGGACTGGAAAATGAATTATTTAGTGATGGAAACTGCACATGCATCTGCTTGGCTTCTGTGGGTTCATGTTATAGAAAACTGTAGGAGTGTTGTAGAGATCACAACTACCCAACTTTGTGTCATAGACCCTGTGTCTTCACAGGCCTCAGAAATTCCCATTTATCTGAGTAGAGGAGAACAGAGTGGCAAGTCTCTGCTTTTATTGCCAATGCTTTGTGGAATAACCTTTATGGTCTGTAGATTCAGTCATGTGCAGGTCTGTGTGACTTAGGATTTATTACACTGCACTTCATATTTGTGCATCTCTCTCCAGTTCCTGGAGAGGAAAGAAATTAAAGGTCTAAAAGGTTAGCTTGGTGTTAATAGATCCAGATATACCCAATATTTAACCTCCCTGGACAAAGGAACTCCTTCAAGGGCTGGCTTGTCCTGTTACAGTGTGACAGTGTCAGCCCTGTGTGCTGCAAACCTTCACCCAACCTTAGAAATAAGAAATAAAAAATAAAAAAGCCAAGTGTCTGCTCAATGGGAAACAGATGGAGTTTTCATTAGACATTACTTTTAATGATCTGCTTTAAAAGTAAAGATACACCATTCCAAGCAGAAGAAGGGCCTCCTAATAGCTGTGTTTAAGTCCCAGGCTCATTATCTGAGCTACAGATAAGCAAGATTGCAAGACCTTTGAATCATTGGAACTTCCAGTTAAGCTTTCCGACCATTATTAAAATTCCAAACACAGCAGAACTATTTTGGAGCCTTACCAATATTTTTTCCTGAAGATGTATCTTTATTTAATGATTCAGAGTTATTATGATGGGCCTGGCAGTCAGTTGCTCGGTTTCTGGAGTATTACCATTTAACCTAGGTCAGGATAAAAATCTGGGAATATTCATTGCAGGGCAGACCTTTTGCATCTTTGAGGGCCTGTTCTTCACAGTCCACCTTGGTGTGACTCCCCCCAAATGGTGTTGCTGGCTGTGAGAGGTGACCCCAGCAGTCTAGAAAGCCTGAAGATCCTTCCTAAAAAGATAAACCCTGCATTCTGTGCCTGTAGGTACTAAATCAACTTTTGACATGTAAAGAACAATGCAATCCCAGGGTTTTAGGCATAGATGGCTGCTGCCAAACCACAAGAAATGCTTTTGTCTGGAACTCATGGAGCAGTAACATAGCAATGGAGGGTGTACCCTTGTCTGTTATTCCCTCTGAGCAAATTCTCAGAGACATGTTACCAGGATTCAGATAGATTTCATGGAACTAGGAGAGAAACGGGCTTTAATTTTCTTATAAAGGGAGGAAGAGACAATAGAACTCAGCAAAACATGTGGCAAGTTTTGTTTCTGTCTGAGAGTTATGCAAGCAAAACCCAGTGCCCATCCTCAGACAGCACTCTCCCAAGTGAGACTCACGTGAGGGAACTTGTGCTACTTTTCTTCTTAAAGCCTTCAAAATTGCTTTATTTCCTCTGCATATGTGTAAATACAAACTATGTCTTCAACTGTTCTCCAGCTGGTATGAGTCAGAATCCAAACTTCTCAAAGTTCAAGGAAATTTAGAGCTGATGTTCTGGTTCACTGTCACCTCTGTAGAAAAATACCTGCATGAATAATGAGAAATAAGCCTCTTGTTTTCATAAGAGGGACCAGAAGGATCAAGTTCAGCGAAAATCTATCACAAACTGTTAATTAAGCACTGTTCTGAAACCAGGTTTTTCCCACTCTGTTAGAAACCTTCTTCAATTTCCAGACGAGAGTTATTAGTGGCTGGTTTGTTCGCATATATTACTGTGCCAAAGCTGTCTTTTAGTTTACATTATACACAAACAGAATGTGAGTATTAGGTTTCCTCTGCTTTTTGTCTCTTTCAGGGGAAAAGAAAAAGAAGAGCTTAAATACAAGGTCACCTTGTGTTCAAGGTCCAGTTATTTCCTCACACAATTCAAGGGTGGGGGGAGAACAAGCAAAAGGAGCAGATGACAAAGATGACAAGAGTGCTTTATATTTAGGTTTGTGTACCTTAGAATGATCCAGCAACAGCATCCCTGCTCCTGTTATCTTATGTCCAAGTAAATACAGTTAATTTTCTTTCTTTGGGTTATATTTGCAGAAATCAAGAAATGCCCTCTCTCCCTGTGTTACTAGAGTGTATTGGGATCCAGTTTTTGAGAAAATGTGTTTATTCTCTTTCCCTGTACCCCTATTTTATGCCTTTGCCATTGGAGCATGGATATACTCCTCCCCTTGTTCTCCCTGTATGGTCCCAGTTTACATACTCCACCCTTGCTCCTCTCCAGTTGCTCCCCTTGTTCCAGCAAGTTCTGCTCCTGCCCCATAAAAGCAGGAGCCACGTTAATAAATTGTTCCATTTTGCACCTAACGTCGAGGTGTCCGAACCCTCATTCCTGTGGGGCTGTCGAGGACACTGAGAGAGTCTGTTTGCCACAAGAGTGAAAAAACAATACAATTGTTTCTTTCTTCTTGTCTCATTGAGTGGCCTTTTCCTGGTTTAGTGTAGCTTTGTGAGCATGGGTTGCACAAGCCAGTTCCATCATCCTGGTGATTACAGCACGGGGTGAGAGGTTTCAGATACTCCTGGTTGTGAAGAAATGATTTTCAGAGGATGAACTCACAGCAAATTCCAAGCAGGTGCCTTTCTGAGGTGTTTGGTTACGCAAACCTCAGTCACTCAGGGGGGAATCTTGTCCTGAGTGAATAACATAAGATGGATCAGTGCGAAAATCCACACCTGGAAGTTGCTTCCTAAAGTATCTCCATGTCAGCACCCTGCAGATTTTAAACTGAGGGTGCAAACCCCCAGCATGGATGGACACTCTGCAGGGTGGTGGCCTCTGTGACTCCCTCGAGTCACTTGGCAGCGCAATAATGGAAATGGGAACGTGGGATTTCTTGTGTCTGTTGTGTCCATTGGAACAATACTGCTGAGAGCAACTGGGACCAAAGGCCTGGCCTTCAAAATGTATGACTTGAAAAGAAAGCTGCATTTTTTTTTTTTTTGTAAGGTCCAAATGTGTTTCATTCAGCTTTGCTGCTACTCCCAGAGCTGAGTTGTAAAAAAGTCACACATCTGGGCTGTGCTGCCTGTAACTGTTTTCGTCATCCCAAGCAGTTTTTGGCTCCATGATGTTCTGTGTGTGCAGAAAAGAGCTGGTAAGAGCAAACTCTTAACTGAAGAGCTTAAATGTCTTGAATCACCAGCCTGCAGGGTAGCCATGGTCTTTAACTTTATAGATGTAAACCTGAAGTCTTAAAATTCTGCATTTCTAGCCCTGCAGAGTTCTCATTCAGACTGCTCCCTATCAGATTTCCATGCTGACTCCATGTCCAGACAGGTCAACTGTCCAAAGGAATGATGGACCAAGTGCTTTCATGGGAGACAAATGTGAACTTGAGTAGAGCTCACCAATAGCTGTAAAGTTTTTTGAAGCTATACAGCAATAAAACTTTGAAAATAATTTCAGTACATCCTAAATAAAGGGATGTAAGATGTCAGGATTATCAATATTTAATGCCAAGTGACAAAATAATGTTGCTCCTCAATAATTCCTGTTGAAATAATGGCTTGTTTTCTCACTGCACAGTTGGCATATCCTGGAGTCTTTGGATTCTGCACTGTGGAGGCTGAATGTGTTTGAATTAATTAATTAATATTTAAAATGTTCTATGCCCCTCATTCCAGCCTCAGTTCCCCAAAACATGACAGTGCAGGTGATCACAGAAGAGCCACTGGAACAAATAGCTACTGAATTCCAGTGTGGTCAAGGATCCACAGAAAGGACAGGGAACTTGGAGACTCCCAGTTTGTGCATAGTTGATCCAAAGCAGGTTTTTGGGGCCTGTGGCTGCTGCCAGGATGAGAAGGGGACACGAGGGGGACACTGAGAGCCTGAGGACACCTAGAGGAGGCCACATGTGTCTGGAGGAGTTGGCAGGCTTGCCTAGAAGCCTTCCCTTCCACTTCTTGGAAAGTCCATCCAAAAAAGCCTTTCCAAATTTCCCAGCATGGTGGGCAGGTCCTGAGTGTGGAAGAGTAAAGCAGAGTGCTTTTGCTGCAAACTTGCTGTCCCCTTCTGCTCCTGAATTGTTCCTACTCGTGGTTAAACCCCTGCCTTGCCAGCTGACTGCCGTGGAACTTGGGGCTGATTTCCACATGCTCCCACTTTCCTTTACACTTCTCTGAGCAGTTCTTTGGCCTCTCAAAAAGTATGGACAGAGCACAGGACAGTCCCTTCCCAACCACATGGCTTCAGGCACACAAACAGACCTGCACAGCCCAAGGAGTAGCACTGGGATGGGGCATCTCTGACAGCACAAAAGGGCAGGTTGGGAAGGGCAGACAGAGACCTAACTCTGCTCAGCTGGCACTCTCATACCTCCCTTCTGAGTAGGTGCTTCTGATGGCCTGTTTCATAAATCATTATTGAAAGATACTTCTGAATAAATACTTTCTCTTCTCCAGTACTAAGGATTAATTTTGCATGAGTCTGTGTGTTTACTCTGTTCTTCAGCAGTGACAGAAATTACTCTCTTGGTCAGATTTTATGAATGATGTTCCACATTTATTGCATGTTATGACCTTTTTGGATGATACAAAGTCAAGTCTAGGGATCTGTCTTTCTTATTTTTCTTCTCTAATGAACAGTTTGTTGCAGTATAGACACCTGTAATTTACATCCTTTATTTGAGATTAAAGTAAGCTCATGATTAACATATTATATGAAGCAAGGTGGTGAACAGGAGAGTTCATTGACTTTTCAACCCTGGAATCACCCAAACACTGTTTTACATTCCAAATAAAATATCTGCTGGGTTTCACACCAGTCTTTTACCAGTGCATATCACAATGTTGCTGTTGGGAAAAACTGAATTTATTAAGGCAATATATTTTAAAAATTGGCTCCAGCACCACACAGCTGGCAACAAGGAAAAAGTAATCTAAGGCAGCATGTAAAAAACTGTTCTTTAGTTAGATTGTGAATTTTCCAATAACTGCCTCCAACAGACCACCCTATGACACTGATTGCAAGCACATAAAGCCTGATGGTTCCAAAGTCATATAAATAAAACGTGGATGTTGAAATGCCAACCTCCCACTATTCGCCTCCAACCTTTTCATCTCTTCACTGCTTATTTTGCTTTTTTTCTTTCCTGGTGTCCTTCCTCTCACTGATGTTTTCCATCAGTACCACCTTCCCCCTTCGCCTCCCAGAACCAAGTGGAGGTTTCAGCTCTAATGGCAGAGCAGGAGCCAGCAGGCAGCGGAGGGGAGCTGGGGCAGATTTGGTGAGCACATCGAGCCCCCAAAAAGCAGAAGAGTGCAGGTTATTTGTGTGTGCACACATTTCACACACCCAGTGCCCACCTGAGCAAACCAGTGGAGCAGTTTAGGGAAGTTCTAAACTCGAGCCTAGCTCAGTATGGTTCAGAGTGTTATTTGTAGCCATGAGTTTGATGAGCTGGAGCTGTTCTAAGATCTTTTAATTTTTCACCTCCCGTGCCATTGTATAAGGACAGGCCACTCATCACTCAGAGAAGAGCTATGAAAATAATAAAAACAGATTAATTAACGTGGAAGAAAACCCAAGAAGCTCTCAATCCTGTTGTCTGGAACTAAAATACATCTGGTACTTCCTGGTTTATAACATACTTCGTGTAAAGGCTGTTTACTCAGTGTTGGTGTCAATTCTTTGGCTGTTTGGGTTGGTGACAAGTTTTTGTAAATGTCTCTTGTTAGACCTAAGTAGGGTGAAATGTTTATCTCTTGTTTTCCTTACTAAAAATTAAGCAGGTTGTTAAGAGTTTCACAAAACCATAATTAACTTTCTCTTTGCGAACAGAACATTTTAAAAATGTTTTTATTGCCTTAGTAATGAGTGTTACAAAAAATGTCTTCCACAGCAAAACACACTAATAACAGGGATGAGTGCAAACCAAACAAGTCAAAGTAAATTATCTATGAAACCACTTATTTTAATGCAACAGGGAACAGCAATAAAAGTTTCGAAACAGCTTTTCCTCCTTTGAGAAAGCAGAACTATTTTTTTCTCTGTTGGAGCTCCTGACATAGGTCAAAATATTGCACTACAGTGAGATTTCAATTCTTTTCCTCCCAGAGGGACCTAAACATTGTCCTCACAACATGTGTATTTTGTTGGAATAGAAGAAAAGCCTCGTCCTAAGAAGGACTGCAACCAGCTCTGTCAGACCAAGGCAAGGGCTGTGCAGGAAGAACATTAAAATGTGGATTCCACACCACGACCACTCTCAGATCTCTATTCCAGTCAGTGGGTACTGACTGCCAAGGGCATAACTTGCCCAGGAACCCAGCTAACATGAGCCCTTTACTCAGATGCTTCAGCACAACTCCACAAATCTTCTGTTCTCTCAGGCCTCATTCTCTGAGCACCTCTGCACAAAGGGCTTCTGTGAGGGATGACCCAAACCTTTCTCTTTTGCTCCACACTAACATATTAAAAAATACCTTCCTGTACTTCTGATGCCAAAGTGCAGCTGTAAAGTTACCCAAATTCCTGGTTGTGCAGCCCTCTCCTTGGCACCACAGCTCACCTGATGTCAGCACTTCTTTGCAGGCTGAAGTGTTTATGGGCTGGCAAATTCTCCTTGTGAGGACCCATTCACAGGCTTACAAGGGCAAAACTATAATTTTTTCTTCCCTGTTCAGTACTTTTTTTTAATGCTATGAGATAATTGACATTTCTTCCCTCTCTCTGCTCTCATTCATTATGGTGACAATGCTTCTGAAGTATTTCATGAATTCCATCCGAACATCTTCAGGATCCTCCTCCAAGTTGGAATGTATTAGTTTTAGTTTGTTCAGTGGGTAAGCTTTGAAAGCAAATAAAAAACAATTAGGTATATTCCTTTTAAAAAAGAAATATTCATGAAGTCATGTTGGAGTCAGCTGGAATTCAGTAGTACCCAATGTTTGATACCCCAAATAAAACGTGAAGAAGAAAAGCAGCAGAGCTTGTCAGCTTTACAAACAAATCCAGCTTATTGCCAAATTAAAGTCTTCAAACAGTATTATTAAAGCTTAAAGTCTGGTTTTGGAGTCATATTCAGTTAGACAGAATCAAACA